TTTAATAAATTTAAGGTAATACTAATTTTTATTTTTAAATATTTATTTTAATTTTTTAAAATAGAGAAACTATAATTTTAATTTCTAAATACTAAATTTAAAGAATTAAATTTATTATTATTTAATATTTTAATTTTAGTATTGAAAATTTAAATTATATTTTATTAAATTAAAATAATTACAATATGTTTTTCTACTTTGAGAATTAAAATATAATTAAACTAAAACTGAGAATATTATAATACATTTTTGAACTCTTTTTTATAATATTTTTATCATTATTATATTTTTGGATTAATGATTTTTTTCCTAATTTTTTATAAAGTCAATTTTAATATTTAAAAGTATTTAACATTTTGAATTTTGAAACTTTTTCTCTATTAGCAAAATTATTTCATCCAAATTTTTAATAATATGATAAGTCATCAAATTCGTATATAAAATAAATTTAATAATGGATTAAAATAGAACAACATTTATAAGAGACTATTTATTTTTATTTATGATAGATCAAAAGTAGAAATACATTTAAATTTATAATTTTATTTATGAAACACATTTAAATTTATAATTAACGAAAATAATGAAAATCTTAATATAATATGATACTTTTAGTAATGTATTTTTTTATAAATTTAAACTTACTTTTTTTAGTTTAGTTTTTAAATTTTATGTATTATTATTGTTAATTGATATACTAGAATAAATTTATATAAAAATAGTCTTTATCTTCAAAATTCACTTCTTCAAATACTATCTTTATATTTTTCTACTGTTTCTTTATAGTTAAGAATGTCAACATTTGTTCACACACTTAAATATAATATAAAGTAAAGAGTATTTGTTTATTCTATTTTATTTCCAATCTATAATTTGAGTTTTTTTTAAATATATTTTATATTTTTAAAATTAATAATTTTAATGTAGTTATCTAAGTTTTTTATGTGATGATTTTAATTAATTGATATTATCGAACCATTTAATTTGATTTATTATAGTAAAAATCATAAAAATAAATGTTAAAATAATATTAATTATTTTAAATTATAAGAAAATAAATAATAAAAATAGAAAATAAAGTATTCTATAAAAGAAGACTAATTATTATAAAGATAAAATAGAATATGGGAGGAAATGAGGATGATAATATAGTAAAAATGATAGAGTTTAAAAATTGTGACGTATGCCTTATTTTAATATTATATTAATATTATTGTGCAAGAAAACTTCAGTAACGAAGTTTTCCTCATGCACATTAAATTTTTTTCTTATATATGCATACTCGAAGCGGGGAGGAGGAAAATCAAAATTTTTCTCTCATCCTTCTTCTTCTATTGTCTAAATTTCAAGTAACGAGACTCTACTCGTGCAGGATCTCGGTGAAATGGGAGAGAGCTTGAATTAAGTGGGAAAACTTCGGTAGAAATACCATACCAGGTAAGGGGAAGTTTAATTCATTCAATATATGAAATTGAATTGTTGGGTACTCTGTGAATAAGGAATAGGAGTAGAGATATGAATTATTTGAATGTCTGATTTTGAAGAATTTCTGATTTTGATGAACTATTCACCGTTT